AAATAAAACTATTAAAAATTTGTGAAAAGTTATATGAGAATACATATAGAAAGAATTTATTTAGTTCCCAACTCACATCATAAATCATAAAGCTGTGACTCTATTTGTATGGCTCTCAACGTTCCAGCGGGAAATCAATCAAAAAATTTGTCAGAATCAATTCAGAACTCATTTGCGGTTCGCATTTTGCGAAAATTGATAAGATATGGATTTAAGTGCTCTTCACTCTCTAATTCGAACTTGTTAAATAAGAGCTACTTAGGCGCTCTATAGCAGCTGAGCTGAGCTGTGCGACTTTTGCAGCTGTGAAGCCGCAGGCAATGCCAAAGGCGACTGGGTCTGGGTCTGGGTCTGAGTCTGGGTTTGGTTAGCTTGAAGTGCCAGCCATTGCCCTGGCGAATGTCGCCGGACGGGCGAGTAGATGCTGTGACGGATGTCAAGCTGGCATCATGTACTCAACTAAGTATATGACCACTATAAGGTCGACACTTGAGCACTAGAATTGCAAGCAACTGCTCGACTGCTCGACTGCCCGACTGCTCATCAGTTGGCAGCGCGCTAGCTGTGGGGATTGGAATGGGAATTGGAAGTGGATGTGGATGTGGATGTGGAATCGGGCTTGGTATCGAAGGTTGGCCGTTGTGGCAGTAAGCGGCTTAGGTGCTCCACTGCATGCATGTCACAAGTCACGCTCATGTCTGCTATATGACATATTGCATTGTATATACATATGTACGTATGTATGTGGCAGGGAATTTATAAATGTTTCTAATCAAATATACCCAGCAGATAGATAGACACAACATACATATTTATATGCATGCATACATGCGTTGCTGTTATTTACACACGTTGCTGTCTTTGCTTACGGATAGTTCTATATATGCATGTGAATATCCACATGCATGTATATGTATATAAATATGTTGTACAATATATCATTGTTGTTTGGCTTTGTTTGCAGTCCCATCGAACTGTTTGTTTGAGCCGTTTGGCTGCTTTGGTGTTGTGTATCTTGTGTGGCTGTCGTCGAAGTATCTCTTCTATTTAGTTTGTTTGTATTTTGACAATTGTTTTAATCGAGGCTCGCATACTTTTACCTTACTTTTTCTCTCTATTGACAGCTATGACGGAGGAGATAACCGGCAATTGGAGCTACTATGTGTATATATCACTAACGTTGGTTCCAGTCTATTTGGCATTTCAGCTCATTAAGTTTTTGGGCTGGCAGCTATTTGTGAACAACTGAGCAAATAGCCAACGCACAGCCAACATCCCAGCCATCAACAGCATCAACAATAACAACACCAACAACAACACTTGCCAGACAACACCAAGCAGTGAGCAGCCAACACAGCGGAGTCATAATCACAATTGAAATTGGAATTGCAGTTGAGAGTTTGGAGCTGAAGCCGAAGTTGGAAACTGCTGTTCTAAAAGGTGCGTAGTCACTTGAAGGCAGTCGCCGCTGTCAGTCGAAAGTCGTTGAGTGCGCGTAAAGGACCGAAGTGTAGAACTCTGAGCACTGCAGGCTCAGCCCAATTTTTCAGCTCCAGGCAGACAGTCAGTCAGACAGTCAGCCAGACAGCCAGACAGCTAGGCAGTCAGGCCAGGCAGTCGTTGCATCCATACACAAAGTCGGTTGCAAATAATTTGAAAACTATTTAAATATGCTTATGACTGAAGTTTTTCACTTGCAGCAACGCTCTCACTGACAAGGACCCATCCGGACGACACGCTGGGAATACAAC